AAGTTTATCTTCATAATATTCCTGTTCCTTACAAAGGTCTCCTCTTCTATTTTTGTCACCCTTTCTCTAGCCTTAAGGATTCCACACCCTCAGCTGCTTGTCCTAGTGATCCACCAGAATCTGCCATTATTTGCAGTGGCCCAAGCTTCAAACTTTTTCCCTCAAAACTTTTCTGGTCTTGGGGTTGGAGAGATGACTCAGTGGTTAAGAGGACCTGGGTTCAGTTTCCAGACTCACATGGTGGCTAACAACTGTCCATAAACCTAGTTCCAGGGGATGTGACATCCTCTTCTGCTCCCCATGCGCATTGCATGCAATTAGTGCACTTACATACATGCAGGCAAAACATTCATGGGTACAACATAAAAATAAATGAAAACATGCACATAAAATAAAAATAAATAAGAATTTAAAAGCCCTTTGCTGGTTTTGTGTCTTACTCAACTATGGCTAGATTTTCAGATAAACAGTGATTCTCAAAGCTGAGAATAAATCAGAACCTCCTGGAGGATTAGTTAGAACATACCTTCCTAGGTCCCAGAGATTTTTCTTGAGGAGATGGGTAGGGAAGCTAAGAAGTTGCTTTGCTTTTTCTCTCCTCTCCTCTCCCCTCCCCTCCCTTCTCTTCCCCTCCCCTCCCCTCCCCTCCCTTCCTCTCCCTTCTGCTCCCCTCTCCTCCCTTCCTCTCTTCTCCTCCCCTCCCCTTCCCTCCCTTGTCCTGCCCCTTCCACTCCCCCTTCTCATTTTCTTCCCTTTTTTGAAACAGTGTCACATGTATCTCAGGCTGACCTCAAACTTGCTATGTAGTAGAGGATGGCCTTGACCTTCTCATCCTCCTGCCTCTACTTCTCAGGTGCTGGAATTTACAAGCATGCCCCACCATGCCTGCTTTATGCTGTGCTAGGAATAGAACCCAGGGCTTCATGCATGCTAGGCAAGCACTTTAATAACTAAGCTACATCCCTAGCCTAGAAATGTATTTCTTATATAACTTACCAGGTATCATTGAGGCTACTGGACAAAGACCACATTTTGAGAGCCACTTGGACTAAACTAACACAAAACCAGGAGCAGCAGATACTAATGCACAAAGGAATCCTTGGTTCATCTTGTCTCAGCCTTTGAACTGAGATTCAGATACAGTTGATGCTGTCTGGATCACTTAGCTTTTACTTCCTCCTCTCTAAGTTTCTGATCTTAGATTGTTCACAGCGTTTCTGTTTTTGAGACTAATTCCATTGCCCTTCAGTTTCTCCTTTCAAAAAGCCTCAGTTTCAGGACAAAGGCTTTTCCTGAGCTTTTGGCTACAGTTCACTATTGTGCCCCACCCCATCCCGTCTGGCTTTAACACCCCCTACCTCAGCAGTTACAGTGACCTCTGTAAATCTTGGCTCTAAATGCTGGCTCAAGTTAGGACCCAGTCCTGTCTAGCGGGAGCCATTTCCTCTCCCAAGACTCTGGCTTCACAGACACTAATGTGGTAATGATTGTCACCTGCTGACCCAAAGGAAATTGTGGCTTGCTCTGACTCCTTAAGGACAGTGGAAAGATGAAAACACCTCATTTACAAGCTTCTGTTAATTCCTTCACTCAGTAAACGTTGACTGAGCACCTGCCAGACACTGTGCTGGACCTTGGTGGCCTGGATGCCACAAGGATGCATCATATATGCACGCATGTTCATGGTAGCACCTAAGAGGTACAAAATTCCTCTTTATAAAGGGAAACACATACATACACACGCCCTCTATTTTTTTTCAATTGGGACAGACTGTCTTATACCCCAGGCTGGTCTCTAACTTGCCTCGAAGCCAGGATGACCTTGAACTTGCAATCCTCCTGCTTTTGCCTCTGAAGTGCTGGGAACACAAGCATGATGCCATGCCATACCTGATTTATATGGTGCTGGGAATTGAACCCAGGGCTTCCTGAACGCTGGGCAAGTGCTCTACCAACTGAGCTACATTCTCAGTGTCTCCCCTGACCCCCTTTTTCTCTGAAGGTTTCTTCTATCATGAAAGGGATCTTTTTGACCCTTCTAAAAGAGTCAAGGAACAAACCTCACCAACTAACCACTTATGACATCTCTCTTCAGCCCTTTTGTCTCCCGTGTGCCTAAGAAGGTGACTAAGACCCAAGACTGGAGAGGCACAGACTCAAGGAGTTTCTAAACCTCTGTTGAAGCGAGCATTCTAATTCACATCATACAGATGTGTGACCCCTCATTGTGGTGAGTGGGGTAAGGCAAGACATGAAAAGCCCAGAATATAGCAGGCTAAAGCCTGTCTGCACACTCGCACACACATATTAACACATAACAATGCTCACCCAATGCCCACATTAAGGCTAGGCATAGTGGCATACATCTGTAATCCCAGCACTCAGGAAGCTGAGGCAAGATTGCTAGTTCAAGTCCATCCTGGGCATATATACAGTAAGACCCTGTCTCAAGCAAAACAAAACAAAGTACATGTTGACACAGAAGCACACTAACAATTATATTAACATGCATACATACTGTCAAACCCACCTCTCCCCCTAGTGCATATTAGCAGGTATACACCAACAAATCAGCACACTAACAAATGTACACACACAGGAATAAGCATAAGCCAACACTTGCCCATTGACACACAGATGTACGCACAGGCACAGACTGACAAAACATACCAGCACATATACTAGTACATACAAATACTTGCTCACATAGCAGCTCCGAAGCACATGGTACCCCACACACCATGACAATCAGAAGGTCTCAGGCCCCAAAAGCAAGCCCCTTGCAGAGGCAAACAGCAGGTAACTAACTGTGAGAGGAACCAAGCCGTTGCAGGAGATTTGAATTGCACACTTGGTCCCCAAGCTGGGAGGTCCAGTGTTGTGGAGTAAGAGACCTTATTGAGGTTATGGTAACCTCTAGGGACAGGCAGCTGAGTGGAACACATCCATAAGACACAGAGGAGTCTGTGCTGAAGGGTCCGCAGAGTTGTGAGGCAGTATATGGGATGAATGTGATGGGGGAAGGGGTAGGCAGGACTCCTGGGGAGCCCCATTTACCCCACTATGGCCTTTAGCTCCACCCTTCTGGAGGCAGCACCCAGCCAAACTCTATGCCAATATCAGAGTTTGGCCTGGGGCTCTTTGTGTACCACACTCCAGTCTTTGCCAGGAAAGACTGGCTCCCTACTGGAGGCCTAGTAGGGAAGCAGCCAGTCACTTCTGATTCCCCCGCCCCCATCCTGTTGAGGCCCCAACCTATAGCAGTTCCTCAAATTTAGCCCCAGTTTCATTGTTGCTGCTATACCAGTCCAGGGCCCAGCTGCAGCCCTAGTGCTCCAGGGAGGTCTTAGAAATCCCAGCTGCTTCTTCCTTGCCACTGTCATCTGTACTGGTCCTTGACCTGTGACAGGCTCTTTAACTCATTCTTGGGTCTGCAGAACAATGATGGCACACAGCAGGCACCTCCTGAATACTTGGCTCTTCATGGCTGACCCTGCTGCTGCCTCATTTGTGCTACTTTTCCCCTCTGTCCTGGAATTATTTAATGGATGGGATGTAGGTACCACAATTGGCACTGGAGACACATTTCATGGCGTCCTTGTCAAGGTGAACAGGTTACATAAAGAGCTCTGTGAGAGGGAATCAAGGGTCAGAAAGGCTCTACTTGTGGTCACTTCCTTTCCCTGCCTGTCCCCTTCTAGGCCTGGCCTCTGGATGAGGGCCCTTAGCTCCTTCTCCTACCTTGCTTCCTTCTATTTGTCTTCTGTCTCTCCCTCAGTTTCTCCTGGTTTGGGTGTCTGAGGCTTCTTCCTCTCCCACGTCTAATGGGGCTCCTTTGTGGGCAGGCTTTTCAGCATTCTCTCTCTCTCTCTCTCTCTCTCTCTCTCTCTCTCTCTATCTAGATTCCTATCCTTTTGAGGAGGGGAGTGTCCCTCTTGGGTTTTGGTTCACCAGTAACAGGGAGCCAACGGGGGGGGGGGGGGGGGGGGAGAGG